GCCTGGGGTCAGGGGGCGGGGCGTGCGGCTGGAGGCCGCGCTCGGCCGGCCAATAGCCACCCCGCCGGCCGGCTGACTTGGGCGCGCCATTCCGCAGCTCACCTCGGCACCTGGGCCTTGGCTGGCCTCAGCCAATCAAATGCTTTCATTTGCATAACCAGCTCCGCCCACACGCCCCAGCCGGGGAACTGCTCCCAGAGAACACAAAGAAGGCCCCCCGTAGGGGGAGGGGGTCCACTTCCGAGTCCCTACCACGAGAGCCGAGCATCACCTTTTCAGCACGTTTATGGGTGTTTCACGGTCACCCTGATGAGTGGAGGGTGGGGGTCACAGCGGTTTGGCCCAAGATCTCCTAAAGAGGTCAGTACTCTTCTCTTTCAGGTCTTTCTAACCGAGAGTTACCCTCCGGCTCCAGGATACACAGTTACGTTTTTCGCCTCTGAGCCCTCGGCCTCCACCCCCTCCCCCTTTTCCAGTCGCCCCAATCTCTCTCCTTCCAATCGTGGGCTGCTGCCCACTACTGGCCTAGAGCTGCACTGCAGCCCTGATCACCAGGCTTTGAGCACAGCCTTAATTGATGCTCTCAAGCTGCCCAAACCTGCCCCTGTCCAGTGGAAGACGAGAGAGGAAGAGGTTACTGCACTAAGGTAGAAGGGACCTGGCCAAGTGGCTTTGTTACCCAGGATGGCAAAAAGCCAACAACTAGTATAAGTCTAAACTCCCCACATCATATCGTTCCACCTTCCTTCTCCTACCTTCAGGTCTGTACTGGGCCACAATGGTGACTGACTGGCCAGCCCGTTTCAGAGCAGCTGCAGCCTGCTCATGAGTTGCATTCCTCAGGTTCACACCATTCACCTGTCCAAAGAGAGGAGTTATGAGCCACCCCCAAAGCAAGAAAAGAGTCCTCTGTCATAGCAGTTAGGAGAGGGAGATGGGTTGTCCATCCCTAAATCTACTCCGATGCTTTCTCAATATCTCATCCTTGCCCCTAAGATGAGATAACATCTATGTATCCAGGTAAAGGACACAACATCTCTAGTGTAATAATTATCTCTGTGGGGCTCAAATGCCAACCACGGTTAAAATTCCAAGAGACATTCATTTCCTCCTTAAAGATAAGTCTGGTCCCTGTCCCTCACTAAGGATATCTGTACAGAGAATATAAGTTTTCTCCAGCTCTTAGCCTTCCCCCATTTCAAAAAGCATTCCTTGGAGAAAGCAAGGTCTTCCCTCCTCCCTTTTAAACTAGCACAACTCCCATCCTCCCATCTCGCCTTTGTCTCCTCACCGATAAGATCCGGTCTCCCCTGCGCAGCTCCCCACTCAGGTCAGCTGGGCCTCCTGCCAGGATGAAGGAGACAAAAATGCCTTCTCCATCCTCTCCTCCCACGATGTTGAAGCCCAGGCCTGTGGAGCCCTTGTGCAGGATGATCTTGCGGGGCTCTCTGATAGGAAAGGAGTGGAGAAAGGTCAGGACAAGGTAGGTATAAACCGTGGTCCATGTAAAGTCCAGCGAAGGCCCACATTGCTGTAGGGGGATTTGGGTGCCTAGGTATGATACCCTGTTCCCTTTCTCTCCTGAAACTTGCTTGGCTGCTGTTTTCTGCCAGGTGCCAAGTTTCAGTTCCACTTCCCTCCCTTCTTCCGGAGGGCTGGGCATCAACTTCCCAGGACAGTCCCCAACTCTCTCAGGTCAACAAACCCCTACCTTGGGCTCTAGAGACCATATCTCAGAGCCCACTCACTGGTCCTCTTCCTCCCCAGATTCTCCCATCCTACCAACCGGTGTGATGGACCCTGAGCCACAAGAAGGGGAACCAGTTAGGGGCCGTGGAATGGCCCTGGGATTGATTGCACTCGCCACCCACAAACTGCGCCTACTTACTTTACACATGCTCCTCTGCAGTCTCAAAATTCCACTCACCAACTATGACCCCTCCTACTTTCCCCAACAACAGATTTGGTCACCAGCTACCACTATGTTCCCTTGCTAGGTGATGTGGGAGACAGAGATAAAGAAATCCCAGGTCCCCAAAAGGAGCTTAGAAGCCTAACCTGAAAGAGGAGACAAGAACAGGAAAACCCCCACCGCCTCTGTAAATGGTCACAGTGCCACTAGGTAAGAGCAGCAGTGGTCCCCGTATATCCTTACAACCCGACTCCCAGCACGCACTTGCCCAACCCACTCCCTTTACTTTAAGCATCTTTCATCAGAGGAGCCCCAAGTCCGAGAGACTCTTCCTTTCATGCTCCCAGTCTCGGGTGTGAGGCTCCCTCCCTGAATCCCGGATGCTTCTGCTGAAGCCCTCCTCTCCTCCTACCTGGCATCCCCTCCAGGCCTCAGCGAGCGGAGAGGCCAGGCCCACCTCTGCGAAGCCCTCCTCCAGGCTGAGGCTGAGGCGGAGCCCAAGCCCAGGACCAAGCCGGAGCCTGAGAACTTGCGTGCCCTCTCCATGGCTCCTCCAGCTCTCCCCCCACAACCGTCCGCCTACCCTTCCGGCTCCACTGCAGCCAGCCCATAGGCCTCCAGGCCCCACCCCACAGCAAACCTGTCCCCCGGAACCCGGGCCGGCCCGACCAGTTCCACCGCGGGAGCAGCCGCCAGAGTGAGGTGGGGCCATTCCCTGCGAGGCCACCGGCCCGCCGGCCTCCCAGCATCCCGCCAACCCCACCCGCTGAACTGCTTTCTTCTCTAACGTGGCATGATTGCAGCCGCGGGGGCTGCAACTGTTTCCGGGCAGGAAACCCCGACACCTCCACCTCCTCAGCTCCCTAAAGGCCCCATCCCACCCTTTCTCTGCACTGTCGGATGGGGGCCACGCACTTGGCACGCCCCCTGATGGTAGAACTTGTCCCTGCATCCACCTCTGTCCCTCCCTTGGGCCCCAAGGGCTTCAGAGAGGGCCTCAGACCACAGGACAGGAGCAATGAGGGCCTTATCCTCTCCCTTGCCACACTATGAGGAGGCCTGTGGCCAGCCGGAAATGCTTCCTCTCCTCCCCATCCCTAGGTAGGATGAAGGGGAGCTGGGAGGGTCTTACCTGGTGAAGTCCTCCTCAGCCAGCATGTGCCTGGGGATAGGAGAGTAGCGGGCGGGGGGAGCCTGAGGGGGAGCAGGGTAGCTGACCTTGCTCTCCACAGCCCCAAGATAACCCAGGCTGGAATTATGGCTTATGTGGTTGTCAGCCAAGGCAGTAAAAGCTAGAATCAAGAAAGGGAGAGAAAAGTTCCGAGCCCACTCCACATTGGTACCCTACTCTACCCCACCCTCACCAAGGACTGTCCCCCACACACCATCTCACATGCAAAGAGACCAAGGTCTGCTGATTCCTCAGGCCTCTCCTCCCCACTTCCCCCACACCCTGGGTTCCTCCTCCACAGTCCCTTTCTGAATCCTGGGCTCACTCCTGTGAGTCTTAGAAAGAGCTAAAGTCAAGGCAGTCTACAAAGAAAGGCATGACTAGAGGTGTGACTAATAATAATCCCTCACATCTCTATAGCCTAATACAGTTTTCCAAGGGCTTTCTCGTCCATGATCTCATTTGATCCTTGCAGCCGTCCTATGAGGAAGGCAGCACATATATCATTAGCTCTTTTTTGCCAAAGAGGGAACTAAAGACAGGTGAAAGGGACTTGTCCAAGGGCACCCAGCTGTAAGGGACAGAGCTGGGATTTGGACTTAGCTCTCCTGAGCACTAGTCTCCTGTTCTCTCTCTATCTCAATCTCTCTCTCTCTTTCTCTCTCTCTCTCTCTCCCTCCCTCTCTCAACAAAGAGTATGAACTTCTTCCCCTCCAGAAACCAGGAAGCAGGGCTTCAGGCCAGGGGCAGGGCAGATGGGTACGTACTGCTGGCGTAGTCGGGGGGTGCATACATGTCGTTGAGGTGGAGGCTGCCTGGCTTGGCCACCTTCAGATAGACCATATCAGATGTGTTCTTCAGTGAGGCCACAGCTTCCTCATGCCTCACATCCTGCAGATTGGTGTTGTTCACCTGGAAGAGAAGAGGCCTTAGGGATAATACTGGGGAGGAGGGAGAGCCTCCGCAGGGAAAACTGAGGGGCACCCTTTCAGTGAAATTCAACAGTGCTCTATCTAACAGAGGCCTAGTGCAGTGCTGTGAGGAGCAGAGACGCAGGAGAGAGGAGTGGGCAGGTGAGGGAGTTCCAGCCATGAACAGAACTAGGGCCTTGCTATCCAGGGACACTCAAGTCAAGTGATGCTCTCAAATCTCCCCATGATGCCTAGTCCCTGAGTGAGGTTTAGGTGGAGGGGGAGGCTGCTAGAGCTCCACCTCCCCATCCAGCCATTCGGGCATCCCCAGGAAGGCTGTCTCACCGCCAGCAGCCGGTCCCCAATCTGTAGGCGTCCATCCTTCTGAGCAGCACCTCCCTCAATGATCTTGGTGATGTAGATGCTGTTGTCTCCTGGGATGTGCTGGTTGCCAATGCCCCCAGCGATGCTGAAACCCAGGCCTGGGTGGGAGCCAGCAGGGCATGGGAGAGGGACACAAGGAGGAGTGAGAGTGCTCAGTCAATCCCAAATGCAACCCCCTAAGCCCAGCCATCCCACTGGCCACACAGGAGCTCCCCCCAGGGATCCCAAACACTTGGCTGCCATCCTGAGGTCAGTCAGGGTGAGACTCGAGGTCAAGAAAGAAGGCTTTCTTTCAGGGTGAGTTGGAAGAGGGAAGAGGGAGCCAGGCAGGGTATTCCTTTCCAGTGCCTACAGAGCCAACCTCTGGCCAGAGCACAGGAACCCAGAGGGCCGCACCTTTGGGCCCTTTAAGCAAGTTGACCTCCATGATGGTCTCTGGTGGGGGCTGTCGCCTCCGGACCACCAACCGCACCACTGGGCCTGCCTCCTTCAGTGCCTCCACCGCTCGGCTGTGCACCACCTCCGACACGTCCACCTCATTCACCCGCAGCACACAGTCGTTCACCCTTCGGGGGAGACCCAAGAGGCATGACACTGCGCCACCGCCCTTCCACCCCCTCTCCCACTCCCCCTTCCCCCTCTCCCCTTCCCTACTCTCCCCCTCCCCCTCTCAGATCTAATGGAAGGGTCATCCTGACAGGCAGTCCTCCTCCCCTCCATCCTGCCCATACCGCCCCCACGCCTGCTTCCAGGCCACCTCACCCCAGCCTCCCGTCCATGGCAGCTGCTCCACCAGGGATGATCTTGGTAATAAAGATGCCAGGGTCATCGGGGACATGGGGATTGTCGATACCACCTGCAATGCTGAAGCCCAGGCCAGAGTTGCCCTGCAGAGAGGAGTGGAGGGGCACAGTCTGCTTGCTCAGAGGGCCTGAGGGCCCCACCTACCTCTGTCCCCCAGGGAAGGTTCTCCAGGCCTCAGAAGGGGCCATGCTCGGCAGGCCAGGCCAGGGCACATTCATCAGAAATTTGGCAGATTCCCAGCCTGGGCTAGCCATTCTGGCGTGGAGGCCTCAGCGAAGCCATCCCCTCCTCAATTCCCCAGGCCTTGGCGAGCAAGGTCAGTTAATATCTGTTAGTCAGTTGATTGATTGATGCAGCAATGCAGCCTCTGAGGGACGCTGTTTCCCCATCCTTTCAGTGCGGGTCCCTCATGAGTCTTGAGACTGAGGTTCAGGGCCCTCCCCTCTTCTGGTTCTAACCCTCCCCTCCCACTTCATCCCCCCCTCCACCGGCAGACTCACCCGCTCAAGGACTATCTCCTCATACTTGAACATGCCATCACTGCCATTCACCTAGGGGAAGACATAGGCAGTTCCTAAAGTGCCTCCCGTCCCCCCAGTCATCTGCCTCCCCAGTCAACCTGCTTGTCACCTGCTCCGCACAGAGTAGGAGAGCCCAAATTGACCTCTTGGCCACAGATGGGGACAGGCTAACCCTGAGGAGGCCCCCCTCCCCTCACTTCCAGCTGGATCAGGCCAAACACAGCTGCTCATTTCGCCCGGATCAATTGACTGGGACTGAGCCAGCCAGTGGTGCACTCAACAAGAGGCTGGGCTCCGGGGCCTTAGGAGGGGTGCAGGGCTGGCCTCAGGGGGGTGGCAGAAATTGAACATGGCAGGCAAACCATGCGGCATCCATGGGGGAACCCAGTGGGGCCTGCTCCCTTTCTGAACCCCAGCTATCCCTGACTTGGGTCACAGACTTCTACCATGGCAGGGCTGGAAGAACAGCAGCCACCATCTTGTTCAACCTCCCTCATGTGACAGATGGTGCCACTGAAGTCCAGAGAGGACATGGGTTGTGCCTAAGGGCACACTGGGAGTTAGTAGCAAAGCAGGGACTGGAACCTGGATCTCCAGGTGCTCTTTTGATTAAAGCAAGCTGCCAAGGCCACTGATGTTCTGGCCACCCATCCCCTCTTCCCCAGCAGAGCTCATGGGAAGAAGGAAGGTTACCTCCTTCAGAGTACCTCATGAACCTTCATCTTACATCTTCTGTATCCCCAAGACCCCAGTTCCTCAAATGGGCAGAAGGAGTCAAAGTCTGAATCCATTTTCTACACAGGGGTTCTTGATCCCAAACCCTTTGTGTTTCTCAGCAGAAAAGGAACTTGTTGGGAGTCAGAGGCAAAGCCAGGGGTGAAACAGGACCAGAGTGGCAAAGATTCCCCATGAGGGAGAAGCTGATGACCCATGGACTGATTGGCAGCAGAGTCCATAGCCTTCAACATGCAGTAGCTGTGGGAGGAGAAGCCAGGGAAGGGGATGGAAAAACAGGGTTGGCCTAACCAACCCACGGAGGTGGCCTGCCAGACAGGACATACTTGTGGCCACTGTCAAGTGAAAATGTGATTCTGGACAGACAAGTGGCACCTGCTCCCTGGCTCTCGCTCTCATCCCCAGGAATGGAGGCATCCTTTGGCCTCTTTCACCAGATAGCCTGGTGCCCCTCCTCCATTTTTCTCTGGCTGTGTTGCCCCTTTCCTGACCCCTGATCCCCTCCTCTGAAGAGGAAAGCTGGAAAGTCAGGGTGATGGCTCCTCAGCATGCCCTGCTCTCTGCTTCCCCTACTCCCACCTCCACCACACACAGCTTTGGCTTCAAAAAGCAGAGAGGAGGAGAGGAAAGGAGGGCTGGCTAGTCATGTCTCCACCTTTTCTGGGCCTGGCCCCAGGACTTTATGCCCTGCAGCCCTAGGAGTTGGTGGGAGGACTCCAGCTGCAGCCCCACTCTGGTCCCTGATCCCAGGAGAAAGAATCGGTGGCTCTTCAGAGACCCAAAACCAACACAGTTGCCCGAAGTACCATGCAACAGACACACAGGCAAAAGACTCCCATGCAGCTCATGTATGCATCTGGTACACTGTGTGTGCCCAAATGTGCTAGCTGTGCTTCAAGCCCAGCTTCAGCAAGACCCAGTGGCTCCCGGCTCTCACTGGTCCACCCTCCAGCATCCTGCTGCCCCTCGCAGAGAACCTGCTCCCAGAGCCAGGAGCCATCCAGGGATCAGTCCTGGCAAGGAAACCTTGACCAACTTGCCGAGCCTTGGGACTGGCACCCATCTGTCAATTGAGCAGGACAAGCATGAGGGAGTGTTTACAAGGGTAGGGCCCCAGGAAAGAGGAGAAAAGGAGAGAGGGGGATTTGCAGGAGAGGGCAAGGGGCCAAGGCAAGGGACACAGGGAATGGTCAGCATGGATAGACAGAAGGCCAGAACCGAGGACTCCTCTCCCCAGGAAGTCTCCACCTTTTCTTCTGAGTGAGAGCACATCTGATCCCCAGAGGGGGACAGAGGCGGCCAGGACAGTCACCAGCTTGGGGCAGCCAGCACCTGCCCTCCACAGCAAAGCCTCCTCCTCATCTCTCCCTACCCCGGGGGCTGCAGAGCCGAATAACCGGCCCTCCGCCATGCATGCCAGGGACCTGGCTCTGCCGGCCCAGCCTCCATTTTGCTGCTTCTCCCACAGATGCTCCTTCCATTTTCTAAGCTGGCAGTTTAGGCTGGAAGTGGAAGCCGGAGTTGTGCCCAGCACCCAGGGGTTCCCAAGTGGTGCCAAGTCAGGGCTAGGGGGCCAAGTTCTCCCACATCTGGGGGTATCCAAGGGGGACATGCCCCAATGGGGCCAGTCCCTGCACCAGAGCAGCTGCCCCTTGCCTGGCTCCAGGCACCATGCCTGCTTTGAAGCAAAGAAGCTTGCTTCAGTCCCCCCCCACACACACACACAGCACACACACACTTCGGAGCTGCTTGGACAAAAGAGTCCGTCCTTCTCAGCAGCCTCGCAGCCTTGCTTGGGACGTGTCTCTCGCCTCCTCCCCCTCCCCTCCCTTGCCTGTCAAGCGCCTCTCACCAGGGACACCACACACACACACACACACACACATGCACACACACACGCGTGCACACACTTGCAGCCACATACTCACACATATACATGTAGCCACACACACACACAGGCAAACACAGCCCTCCCTGCAGCTTCATCTACAGAGACACCTCCACATTCAGAGAGACATCCCCACATGTCCATGTGCACATTCACACACAAAGGGACTAGGACGGAGAGGGACTCATGGCATCAAGGGATGAAGCTCAGCGAGCTGGGCACATGGGCTCCTCCATATAGATTCACAGGAGCTCCACAGCCTTCCTCCACACACCTCAACATACACACACACACACACACACACACACACACACACACACACACACACACACACATGTCCCCCCTACGCAGAGCACCATGCCCCCTCCTCCCCTCCTGTGGAGATACACACCACACACAGCCCCCGCAGAACCTCCAGCCCCCTGCCAGACACAGAGACACTGCTAAATCCCCCACACTGAGACAAACCCAATCCCCCTACACAGGAAAATGTGCCCCTCCGCCATACCTTCACCTCCTGACACACAGCTCCTCCCAATCCCCTCCAAATGGAGACCCTCCGACAGACACACACAGGGAAGCACACATTTCCAACAGCCTCTCCTGGCCCAGCTGCAATGCTAGGGCTCAGGGTCTGCTGGCTTGAAACCCCAGGAACCCCTGCTGCACCCCAGGCCTCTAGGCCCCCAGTCTCCAGCCCCACTGGGTTGCCACACTGCCCCCCCCATCTGCTGGTCCATACCTGCTCATACCAGTCCCGGTTGGTACAGGTGCACTCGGGCCACCAGCTGGGGCCGCTGCCGTTGAGTTTGGGGGTGCTCTTGCCTGGGACTGGCTTAGGGGGCACCGGTCCCACATCCCGGCCGGTGGGGATGAGCTTGGCCTTGGTGCGGGGGGTGGGGGTGGCCCCCGCCTGCGAAGGCAGGGTCTGCGAGCTGTAGCCCCCATAACCGGCGCTGGCTCCATTGCCCCCACCCGGCCCGTAGGGGTCGGGTACCTGCCAGTCCCCGTAGCCCGGAGGCTCGAGGCGCCGCAGGGCGGCCAGGCGGGTCACCTCGTAGCACTCGG